CCGACTCGAGTGAACCTTCTGCCCTTCTCTATTTTGTGTACATGTGTTTACAAAGTCAAACCACAGTCTACACACAAGGTACGTGCAAGAAATTATATTAATTTCAATATTTCATCTACTTTTTGATAATGATACAGTGTATTTGAAATACATAGAATTATTTGTTTGCTTAAATTGATACAGCAACTCTTTATGTTAATAAAATTACAATATTTTGCGACATGTGTATTGTGTGCAGTGTGCTGTGTACTATATCATATTTTTACTCGTATATAGTTCGTTAATTCTACACAAATGGCCCATTATGGCCGATATATACGCAATATTCGTCTAATATCTAAAGATCTGTCTCGTAGATTTGTTACATTGTTGAATAGTTTAGGTTGAATGAGCCACTACGGGGGCATTGTCCTAGCCTAGTATTACTATTCTCTCTATACGTGACTGTATAATCCATATCTTTCCGCATTTATATATTCATTATACAGTGAACAGCGTCTTGATGTTAACCTAAGTATAAAGTATGTGACTTTTTGTGATTTGGGGGCAAACAAAAACGAGGAATGAGGAATTCCCAATACTGAATGTCTGACAGTGACAGTCTGAGTGTCTGACAAAGATTGTGGAATGAAACGCAGGAAAATTGAAACCAATCGAAAGCGCGTGATCTGCCTACGATGCGACAAAGTACTAAACGCAGATAATACGACATATCACCAGCAATCAATACACAAAGGACTGACGCCGAAGTTTCAAGATATAGTCGACAAATCCCAACGGCTCCTGAATTTTGAATCTTTCAAACCTGTCGAACTTTTGAGTGAGGTATAATTTGAAAATTTTTTATAATAATATAATTGATGCAGACATGCAGTAGCCAGACTGAGATTTTGTATAGCTGTATTATGTCTGTTTATCGGCATGTTGCTGTGTGTACTTCGATTCTATTTGATTCCATTTGGAAACAACTAGTGTGTGCAAAAAGCAAGACAGACGGTGTGTATAGTCGAAGAAGTATAGAACATTTAAATGAGGTTATGATATAGATTTTATGGTAATACTTACACCATACTAGTCACAATATAATGTATTTTTATGTATAATATCTATTTTTGGATAGTCTATTGGTTCCTGTCAACAGCCAACAAAATGCGAAACAAGTTTACAACAGCTTCAAACACAGTCAAGATCAAGGGAGTCGACTTCTTATGACGCGAGCTGGGCTCCTGTTCAAAAGGAAGTTAATGTAGAAATAGAGATTGACCAGCCGAGCTTGCCCGACGCTGACGTCCACCAAAATATTTCATCTGATTCTGCAACTGCCGAAAATGAAAAACAACAAACAATCTGTTCACAAGCATCAGTTATAGTGTCTGAATCGATTTTTCATGGATCTGAAACAGCTGAAACGGACGTGAACGATCGTGAATGTCGTAAAATTGATCTTGTACGCACAGAAACTGAATTGCCACCATTGCCAAACAGCACTGCCACCATTCCCGAATTGATGCTTGAAGATACTGAAAATACATGTTGTTAAATTTGCATGTTGTTAAATTTATTGTCACATAAATTGTAAGTCGTTGATTGTAATTCGTTGTGCTTGTTTGTTGATCTTCACGTCTGTCTGTCTGTCTGTCTGTCTGTCTGTCTGTCTGTCTGTCTGTCTGTCTGTCTGTCTGTCTGTCTGTCTGTCTGTCTGTCTGTCTGTCTGTCTGTCTGTCTGTCTGTCTGTCTGTTTGTTTGTTTGTTTGTCGGTCTGCAAGCCTGTTATTGTTCATACTGTGTATTTCGAATGTCTTGGAACCCCGTTATTGGAGAACTAATCTCTGTGTGGTAATTCCAGCCATGTAATCTATTGTGTGTAATAGTTTGTGTTAACTAATTTTATGTAATAGTTTGTGTTAAATGGCAAAATCTGTAAAATAAAAAAAATAAAAATAATACACTCGAAAACGCTGACAATGTAACGGTGTCATCAACAGAGCGGTATCTCCGCTGTCTCGGTCAGTTACGAAGGAGTTCCGAGAAATTATCTAGCCTAGTGAGTGAAGCAACTGATCAAAATCAAGTCCACTTGAAATCTGCATATACACAACTTATTAGTACTTGCGAAAGAGTTGTAACAATGGTTGAGGACGTGAAAGAGTCTGCAAAAGTTGGACTACAAGCAGTCCAGAATCAAACAGGCTGAATCCGACATGCTTGAGGATAGCAATCTTATTGAACATGATCCAGCTAGAAGACCGGCAACGTTAACAAGAAACCAAACAAAGTACCTAATCCATCTTGGACCATATCAACCAAAACTATCTATTTATCCACGTAATCTTGAACTAACCAAGAAGGGAAAGCAGAGCTCATTTTCTCAATCATGGTTCGATGATTACCCTTACTTAGAGTACAGTATTTTAGCAAACAAGGCTTACTGCTTCGTGTGTAGTATATTTGGAAAAGAAGGCGATCAGAGAGAAAGATCAGAGAAAGCGTGGATAGAAGGTATCGATGATTGGTCTAATTAAGATGAAAGGCAGTCGAGGCAAAAACAAACCAGGGAAACTACAAACCCACTTTAGCTGTGACGCTCACACTGCCGCAATTCGTGACTATGCTATTTTTGTCCGAGAGGGTAACCATATCGATGAATTATTGTCAAAACAGCAGCGAAGAAGTATTATCGACGACGAAAGCGAAAAGAATAGAGAGGTTATCGAAATGCTTATTGACGTGACTAAAACACTGACAAGAAACGGAATAGCCCTTCGTGGAAACGACTCTGATGAAGACGGAAACTTCCGGCAAATCGTCTACCTTCTTTCACGACATAATCCTGTAATGAAAGCGTGGTTAGAAAACCGTTCGATGCGCAAGTACCACACAACGTATCTCAGTCCACAAAGTCAGAACGAGTTTATTAGTCTTCTGGGTGACGAAGTAAGAAGTCAAATAAGCTCTTGCGTAAAAGATGCTGGTTTCTGTTCGGTCATGGCAGACACTACACCCGATGTTAGTCACAGTGATGAACCATCTGTTGCTGTCCGCTACGTTGATGTAGACTCTTGCTTGCCAAAAGAACGATTGGTGAGGGTGGTAGAGACTAAAGACAAGACTGGAGCTGGACAAGCCGAGGACATTGTGAAGTGTCTGAAGCTATCGCACATACCACTGTCAACTGTTATGTTTCAAACCTACGACTCAACTGCCAGTATGTCAGGAAGATTCAATGGCGCGCAACAGAAGCTGAGTGAGATGTTGGAGAGAAAGATTCCTTACACGAAGTGCACTCCACATGGTGTTAACCTCGTGGTAGAGCACGGTTGCTCAGCATCACCATTAATTGGTAAAGTATTTGCGGTTCTGGAGAAGATTTTTGTCTTCTTCACTGATAGTCCAAAAAGGAATCAACATCTGAAGGAGAAATCTGAGGAAGTTGGAAATTACCTGCAGCTGCGAAACCTTTCCAAAACAAGATGGACAGCCCGGCCCGAATCTGTGGAAGCCGTTTGGAGAGGTCTAGAGGCTATTTTATCAGCTCTCGACGCAATTACGAAAACTGGCGACCCAGACTCAAAGACAAAAGCAGCAGGACTGATTAATATGATTCTTAACATCGACTTCATTTGTGGAATAATGTTCTTAAAAAATGTAATGTACAAGACGAAATCACTTGCCGACTATCTTCAAGGAGAGACAGTTGATATTGCTAGCGCGCTTATTGCAATGGAGTCAACACATGATTGTCTGCGGAGAATCCGAATGGCTGACAAAGAAATCGACGACCAAATACTAGCTGCAATTGAAGTGGCCAGAAATCTCGGAGTTGACCCGATTGCTGATTTCTCAAGACTGCACAGAGTAAGGAGACCATCCAGACGCCTTGATGACCAACCAGAAACAACTGCAGTTGAGTTAACGAACGTATCCACCTTTTATCGCGCCGAATTTTTCAAGTTCATGGATCAAATGTGCACCACATTAATGGAGAAACAAATTGGTCTTAAGGACACTTTTAATCCGTTCCTAAAGGTATTGCACCCAGAAACAATCCAGAACGTGCAAGAATTAGTAGGTGCGTTCCCGTCTGCGTTCTCGCAGGAATCAAGCTCAGCATTACACAGCGAATTGTCCATTTTCTTTGAATATGCGCTGAAGGAGCACAGACGAATGGAAAAAGAACGTCAGTCACAAGGTCTTGAAGCAAAACCCATGAGGTGGCCAAAAAGCATGGTCTTTTCAAGTTGGTTTCAAAGCTTTATAAACTATTTCTGACAGCCGCCCCTGCCGTTTTGAAAAATGAGAGATCATTCAGTTTATTGAAGATTGTAAAAAGTTGTTCACGTAATAAAATATCTGGAGAACGTTTGAATGATTGCACGATCCTTGCCGCTGAAAAAGATATCACTGATGTCGTCGATGTAACTGCGATCGCGAAAAAATGGTCAATCTTGAAAAACCGCCCACAGGCGATTGCTTGAAAACAATAACTTACTATCGTTAACATTAGTTAACGAATAACTGCTATGTAACATTTATTTATTGTTCATTGTATGGGGAAACGCAGTTCTATAGTTCAGCTAAATTACATCAATTCACGTTTTTTTTTGCTACATAAAAAGGGCGAATAGACTGCTTCAACAAAAACTCGTTAAAATTGACTATAGTTATTGGAAGGCCGAGAGGTAACTAACTAATGTGACTGTTCCGGTATTTTAGATTTAACTACCTAATTGATAAAATGAGTGTAGAGTGCTACTCTGAGTCGGAATACTTGGTTTGTATATGCTTAGAAGAACAAAAATAACCCAGACATATTCTCATGAGAAAAAGTAGATTAGGAAAGTAAAAAAATGTTGTAAAAATAAATAATGTGGGTTAAATATCTAGGTGATAACTGTGCAGGGGAGAAATGAACCACAACGTTGCAGTCCGCCAAGATAGGGGGGGGGGGGTATATTTTCAGGTAAATTTTTACAATAGTGTAAAATCAGGTAAATTATTGCATTGCACCCC